GGGGGTTCATCTTCATTCCCCTCCCCTCCTTCTCTTATTTAGATAAGTAACTAAATTAAAATAAGAAACAAAGGAAAATTTTCCCCTCCACTCCTCTATAATTTTTTTATAACCAAATAGAGAATTTTTTTCCCTCCCTTCCATTCCCCTCAATTCAATCATACTATAGTTAATTGGTAACCACATACTGACATTATTTCCCCACACATGCATCCATTTGACTTAGTGTTGTAGAGTGTGTCTTTGAAGTAATAGGGTTATTTTAAAATTAAATTCAGAAAGAAAAATTCCCACCCACTTCAGGTCTGATTATACAATTTCATGATGAATGAAAATTAAAAAAAAAATATATGGAACAAAGAAAATAAGAGAAAATGAGATCTTAAATACTAACACTCTGCACGTAAAGACCCACTTCACTCTCCCTCCATAAGCAATGTGAATTGCACAAATAAACCAAATCAATGAAACTCAATAGTAATCAAATTGGAGAGAAATTCAATAGATTGACTATTTAAAAATCCCAGAAAGAAATTATTAATAGGTTCAGTGTTTGATTCATAGCCCAAAAAGAAAGAAGAAGAAGAAAAAAGGCAAGCCTTTTTTGGACGATGAGAAAAGGCAAACTATAACGGTTAAAAATGGAATGAATCGAAATATCAAATAATTAAATTGAAAATTAATGAATAAGAAATTAAATGAATTCAACCATAGAAAATCAATTTCATGATTTTATCAATAAGAAGCAGAACAAAGTTAAAAAAAATCATTGAGAAAACAGAAGAAAGTTGAAAGAAATCATTTTTATGCACTTGAAATTTGTAAGAACTAAGAACACCACTTAAAATGGACATTTCACAACATATAATTTATAAATGAAAGTAATTCGTAACTTAAAACACATATCATGATTCTCAAACTATACCACATATCAACCATGTGCTTAAAATTTGGAAGAATCCGAACCTGTGATGTAAAAATAAGCTATATAAGTTCAAATCAACTGGAATCCACAATTCAAAAACATATCATTATACCATCATTCTCAAATTATGTTAAATATCAAATCAACCAACACTAAACATTTAAGTGGCAGTATGCATTCAGAAAGAAGTCTATGATGCAGAACAGGGTAGAGGACAGGTTCAAATATATCCACTAAAACCTATGGCAGAAGGGTGAAAGGCTCCTCACTGGCCCTTTACAACTAACTGTTTCTGCATTGCATGGTGAATAAAGACACTAAAAAGAATGAAGGAAACAACAAAGAATTTGTAATCAGTAAAACAGGCTGGGAGCTCCGGAGCCATAAATATCATTACCCCAAAATAATAGACTCAAAGTAATCTGAGAAAACATAAGACATTATAGGCAATTCAGCAACAAAGAAAATAAGTTACCATCCCAAAATTCTTGGGATTTAAGTGATCAAATTTAATTTCAAAGTTACTTTATCCTATAAATAATAGAGTTTTACACTAACTCCTCAGGATCACAAAACCCTAATATTTTCCAGCCCACCATCGACTCTGTAGAACAACTTTTTTTTTTTTTCGTTATATTGGAAATGATAATATATATGCCAGAGAATAGTTCTCTCATTCTCAAACCCCTCCACTCATCTCAAAATTCGAATTTGAGATCTCCCATGCAACATAAAGATGCTAGTTCTTCGCTACTAGGACATCTCTATCCCCTTGGAGACTAGGAAAAACAACAGGTATCAAACAAAAAAATTTGCATGTATTTTGCAGAAATATTCAATGTCTAAACACCTAAACCCCAATTAACGATTTTTATCGAAAAATACGCAGAAGCAATGAAAAACAGAATTCAGAAATCAATCGCGAACGATGAAACGAGAAAATTTTACCACGACTCAGAGATCCGCAGAGAGAGCAAGGGTTGAGGCTTGGAAAAGTGGATTAGAGAGAGAGCCGTCGCGGTTTTCGCCATTAGAGGTTGCAGAGAGTTAGTGAGAGTGGAAGTGAAGCACGGGGCGAAGAACAGAGCTTTTCCGACAGTTGGGGGAAAATATATTATTATGATTTTATTATTATTTTTTAATTGGAAGACTTGGCTTTTCCATTTCTTTTGACTAGGGTTGGACTCGGACTCATATTTTTTATTAACAAACTAAACTGCTTTCTTTCAACGCTGCCACATTCTTTTCTTTATATAGATATATTTTTTATGTGTACTTAAAGGAGGTCTCCTTTCTCACATCTTTCGTCAATGACCCTTCTTTTTCTCTCTTTTTTCTACTAAAAAAATAACCCTCTTCTTTCAATCTCATTGCCCAATCCTTGTCTGCAAAAATGGCAGAAGCAATTGTTTCCTCAATCTTAGAGCAGATCACAACAATCATCTGTCAAGGAGTCCTAGAGGAAGGGAGACTACTGATAGGTATTAAGGGAGATCTGAGAAACCTCAGAAACACCCTCACATCCATCAGAGCTTTGCTTGAAGATGCTGAGGAGAAGCAAATATCAAATGGACCTGTCCAGTTATGGTTAGATCGGCTCAAAGAAGAATCTTTTGACATGGAGGATGCTTTGGATGAGTGGAGGACTGTACTCCTAACTGATGGAGCTGAAAATGCTTGTTTTCTTTGGAGGAAGGTACCTGCTTTCCTGAGATGTTTTTCTTTTCATCCTGTTAGATACCATCGCATTGCTCGCAACATAAAGGAAATCAATGGAAGGTTAGATAAGATTGCTCAGGATAAAGATAGGTATCAGTTAACAAGAACTAAAATGATCAGTAGACTGCCAAGCCAAAGAGAAAGCAAATCTTTTATTGATGAGTCCAGCTTGCTTGGTCGAGACGATGTCAAGAATGAAATAATCAGCCATTTGTTGTGTGAGGCTAGCAAAGAAGAGGAGGGTAGCCCAATCCAAACCATCTCCATAGTGGGGATGGGAGGTATTGGGAAGACTGCTGTCGCCCAGCTGGTCTACCATGACAAAAATGTTAAACAACATTTCACTTCTAGAGTCTGGACACATGTTTCCAACATTTTTTATGAGAGAAAAGTCGCAAAAGATATCATTGTAGGGCTTCAAGGCCTAGAAAAACAAGCAACCCTCCAGTTGTTAGAGTCATTTCAATTAGATGCTCTTTTAGATGAAGTTCGCAAGTCCTTAGAGGGAAAGAAGTACCTTCTTGTTTTAGATGATGTATGGACAGAAAAAGAAAAAGACTTTGAAGGACTGAACGCTACTTTCAAATGTGGTGCCCCGGGTAGTAGGATATTGGTAACTACACGTAGCAATACTGTTGCAACAATTATGGGAAGATCACACAACATTCCTTTAAATACCTTGAGCCCAGAGATATGTTGGTCTATCATTAGTAAAATAGCACTAAGTGAGAAGGACCAAGAGACTTGTGAGGAGTTCAAGCCTGTTGGATTGAAAATTGCAGAAAAGTGTGGTGGTCTGCCGCTTGTTGCAAAGACTTTGGGAGGCCTTTTGCGGTTTAAAACTGGCATACAAGGGTGGGAGAATGTTTTGAATAGTGATTTGTGGAGAATGGAAATTATCCATAAAGAAGTTTTTGTTCCTTTGTTGTTGAGTTATTATGATCTGCCCTCACCAGTAAGACAGTGCTTTACATATTTTGCTTTCTATGATAAACACACAAGTTTTAGTGTTTATCATATGCTTTCAGTCTGGATGGCACAAGGTTACTTAGGCCTTGATGATGATAATTCACCATTGGAACAAAAAGGCATTGAGTACTTTCAATGCTTAATGGATCGCTGTTTCATCCAAGGTTTTGACTTTGAAGATCGATTTTTTGAGATACATGATTGGGTACATGAATTTGCTTTCTTTTTGACAAGGGGAGGTTGTATCAGATTGGAGGTCTCCGAAGGTAATAGAAGTTTACCGATGAACTGTGAAAGAACTCAAGAAAGAACACCTCGACATTTGACAGTGATGGTAGAAAAGGGGTTCAATTTTCCTGAATTCATTCCTGATGCAGAAAAATTGCGAAGTGTTGTGAGTTATGGTAGTGATGATCATGCTCCAATCAGTGAAAAGGCCATGCATAATTTGTTTAATCAAGCTAAACGCTTGAGGGTAGTGGATATGGGGTGGGGATATCATGGTTCAGCTATTCCGGAAGACATAAGAAACTTATTGCATTTGAGATTCCTTAGCTTGCCTTCTAGCAAAAACCTTAAAAGGTTGCCAAAAGCACTCTTCAGATTACACAATTTGGAACATTTAAGTTTGTATCTCTGTTCTAATCTTGAGAGATTGCCTGATGAGATAGGAAATTTAGTCAACTTGAAGCTTCTTGATACCGAAGGTTGCAACAAATTAGCTTCCTACCCAAAGGAAGTTGTGAGATTAACTCGACTTACACAATTACTGGGGCTCATTGTGAGAATTGATCGTGACGATCCTGAAGAGTTTAGCATTGGAGATCTAGCAAACTTGAATAAACTTCTCGTGCTTTCTATGAAAATAGTGGGAAATAAAATCAATGTAGGCGAGGCTAAAAAGGTGAAGCTTCCACATTTGCAGGAGGTGAAGATATTGGTGGAGGGGGACATAGCGGATGCTGATGATCATGTCATACTTGAATCCTTAAACATGTCCTTTGTACCAAGGCACAGCTTTCAAAAGGACTACTTTATGTTTAACGGTTTCAATGCATCAAGAAATGAATGGTAGGCAATTCTTTCATTAACTCATTCTTTGTCAAACATTATAAATATTTAATTTCCTTCTTTATATATATATATTAATCATAAGCTTTGTGTTGCAGTCTTTACTATAGCTGGGCGTAAATGAGAAAGTTGTTGGCGATGATGATGGTGAAGAAGAAAGATGTCAGCTCCTGTACTTCTTTTCCTTTTTGGTACACGTTCCTTGTTGCAACAGGCATTTCGTGGTTTCTTATTGTCTAAATCTGTCGTGTTCTTTTTTCTTGATTTTATTTATTTGCTTGTGTTTGAGATTATTTGTGACTGGTTTTATTTCTTGGAAATTGTTGAACATTAAGGCTTTGGATGATTTGCCATAATAGTTAAATGTGTGGTTTTTCAGATTGTTATCTACATAATTTGCCATGTTTTTTTATTTTATTTTAATATTATTCCTTTGTTTTATAATGAGATAATGATTTATTTATTAGTAAGAAGAGAAGTGACAGTAATACTCTTTTTTTATATTTTTCATCAACACTCAATATTATCGGTACATAAAACACTTTTTTTTTTTTTTATCACTGCATGCAACGAATTAAGTTATTTAAATTGAAAATAATTAATACGTGAGTCTCGAAAATGAGTGCAAAATCTAGTTGCTAGTATTTCTTTATCACAATGCTAGCAACATATCGATCTATAGCTTTGTATTTAACAATAATGCTTTGTTTGGTAACATAAATTTGAAATAGTATATTTGAATTTGAAAAGTTAAAATTCAATATCACTATTTGTTTTTATTTAAATAGAAGATAATTGAATTTAGATGAAATATATACATTTAACCAAGCTAATTCAAAAGAATAAAACTTATGTATTTCAATTTCACCCTCAAACCCATGAATTTCAATTTTGAAATGAATTTTCCCTACACCCTCTCCTCTCACCGATGATGATGAGTGACTCTGTCGCTACTCTCTCACCTTCTCGTCGTTGGCCACTCAAACCACTCCTTGATAGCAAGTTCTTGATTGTGCACACCTACCCTACTTTTCATCATCTCCCTCGATAGCAGGTTCTCAATTTAAACTCTAATCTTTTCATTGGTTTTCTTTCTTTTAGTTTGCCTTAATTGATTTGGTATTCTATTGTTCTTGTTATTTTGTCATTCTCTCATGTGATTTGCTTTCATAGGTAGTTGCCCAATCTTTTAGATTCAAAACCCAATAGTTTTATACTTAAACTCAGTATTTTTGGTTGATTACATATTAGTGTAGCTTAAAATTTGTCGGCTAGAACTTCTTTGTGTGGCTTGCGTTTCCTTTGAAGAAATTGAAGGTATTTGTTGCTTCCCCTGTTCATAAGCTTCCTGATCATAAGTCTTGTCAAGAGAATTGAGCCAGGAATACATGCGCTTTGTGTTTATGGGATATATTAGAATTAGTTTGCTGCAAATCGAAAAGTACGATCTATTGTTATTGCAAGCCGCAATGAATTGCAACTTGCAAGGACTACTGTCATCATGTTTGTTTAAATTTGAATTCATGAATATCTTCTTAAAATGGATGTGTTCTCCATCTTTCATTTCCATGCATGTGAAGTTGAATACAACTCCATGTTTACTCAACATTCTCGTTATAGGTAGGTACCCGTCTCGATATCTAGTGTTGTAGTATCCTGTTGTTAGTTCAGCAGCATGAGACCTTGCTCTGTAATGCCAATGAATTCCAGCTATTTTTCCAGATAGTTTTGCTCCAATTCCTTGGAATATTCCATTTGCTGCCAAAAGTATTCTATCTCCATGCTCTAGTAGCTTTCCAGAGTACCACTCTAGGAAGAACTGTCCATACTCAGTATTCCATGTTCCATCCCTTTGGAAAAACCCAGTATCTTCTGGAAATTGATTGCAATGATTGGAGTCA